CTTTTTTTATGACTGAAGGTGAGTATCACTGATACCAATACTACTGATGTCCCTAGAAAATTTTTATTTTTTTCCTACTATAGCCATACAGTATAATTGAGAACTATCAATTTTAACATTAGACTTTAAAAAAGTTCAACAAATTGGCCCACTTTCTAGTATATAAAATTATACTTTTAAATATACTTTAAGTATAACAGTAGTAAACGTTGAGTACACAACTAGTTCACATCTACGTTTTAGTATGTACTGCAACTATACTAAAAGTGAACTTATAGGTATACTGATAATTTACTAATTAAATACTTGTAGCATTTTTAGTACACTTAGTATAGTCTCAGTAAACTACTAGTTTAGTAGTTTCATACTGCAAGTATACTCGTAAGTTTTCTCTAAGTGAACTTTGCATAATACTTTAAGTATACTACTATGTCCCTATTTAAGTATTAATCTGTATATATTTTTTTATCTGCATATCTGAACATACAAAACATTAAAACAAAGAACAGGGTATCTGCTTGTAAACAAAACATTTTATTCTAGCTTGATGCATTCTTTTTTATAAACACTTGAATGTGGGTATGTTTCATAAAATAAATAAATAAATAAACAACATTTTGAACAAAAAGATGAAAAAAGACTATGAATTAGATTCAGAATGATAATCAGAACGTAGATGGAGTCGATCAACACCCCAAAGCTTGACAGTCATTTTTACCTCTTCATGGGTCGACATTTTATTCTATAACGTTACACAGTTTTGATGCTGTTTTATGTCTGATGATCATGTTAGATTACTTGTGGAAGCATCTGTTATTTCGGTTTCTTCTTTACTTTTGGTTAAGGTTTTGGAAATTCTGTACAGAAGATGTGTAATGTGTGTGTGTGTGTATATATATATATATATATATCCCCAGGCCCAGAGTAGCTTTTTGTTCATGAGCTTATTGACAGACCTTAGCCAAAGATAATATCTGTCACAGTTATATCAAAACTAACCTTATAGCTAATACTGTAATAGGAAAATTCATAAGACAGGTCCAAACAAACAGACAGACAAACACAAATACACAGAGACACTCATAGGTAGACAGACCCACAGACAGAGGCAATAAATATGGAACAAGTCTGGTCACGCTAAGTCTTCGGGTAGTGAGGGAGGCAGTGTTAGTGCAAACGTGTGCTTTAGGGAGCTCTTTATGGGTTTTGTGTGCAAAGCCTCCTGGGCTTGGCCTCTTCCAGGCAAATGTGCAGGTTCACAGTGTCACACTAGAGCAATGGAGTGTCTCTGTGTCTGTGCTTGCCACATTCTGTGAAATAAAACAGGCCAGCATTCAACATCACAGCAGCAGTCAGGCAAGGATTTCCCACAAGCTTGCTCCCTCTCTTTCTTTTTTCAAAGACACCGAATTCCATTGAGAGGGCAGCTGAGTCTTTTCCCTGCATTCCAAACTGCCCATTAAATGGCCTCATGGGTAGTATCAACGCCCACAAGCTATCCACCTTCCTTCTCTCCTTCCCTCTACCAGTCTTTTAACACTGTTCCTGCCTCTTCTCTACACACACACAGAAAGAGATGTACTTTCCCTATTTCTCTGTCTGCAAGTAATCTGTTCTGGCGGGCAAAGTCGGACTTGCAGCCCACAGGGACAGAGTCTCCAGTGGTCAAAAATGGGGCAGAGAGAAGCAAGTTTACAGGGCTTTGCAGGGTTTACAGGGTTTAGTGCTTGATCTTTGCTGAAGACACATGACCTATTATCTGACTCCATCTAGGACCTCTCAGCCTAGTTGAGTTAAGCAACCCATAATTCAGTGCTCTGGGAAAGCACCCGCCATACACTTTCACTGCTGAGTAACATCACTTAATGCTTAATCTTAATCTTAAGGAGTTCAGTTCATAACTGCAGCTGTAGGGGTCAATAAGGTCACCAATAATGTAATTTAAAGGGACAGTGACAATAATGTCATTATTTGCTCACATTCATGTCATTTCAAACTCGTGTGACTTTCTTTCAGTGGACCATGAGAGATATTTCTTAAAGACTGAGGGGGAAAAAACTCCATAAAAGTAGTCCATACATCATGTGCACCACATTCAAAGTTTTCTAAAGCTTTGATATCCCTAAAAATCTTGACAATGTACCCTATTTTTTCCCTACATGGGTTTTGACAAAATTACTTTGTAAACTAAACACAAATATTTTGTATATGTAATTCTTTGTGTGACAAACAATTTAATAATTTAAAGAACCTTATTCCACTACAAAGAACCATAAGTGCAATGGAGAGTGGATATTAAATGTTCTTTATGGAATCACAGATGCCAATATAGAACCTTTTTTAAAGAGTAAACATACAGCATTGATTATGCAGCCATCCCCAACCAAAGCATAAGCTTCACTTATCATCACAAAATACCAACATCCCCTTCTAAATTCCAACATAACTGAAAATTCAAAACAAATTTACTCCTTTGATCATTTGGCACAAAAACACATAAACACTTAATTTCCATATTTACTCTCCTCATTCAGTCCCATGCAAAGCAAGCTGGAAACAAGAATTACCCTGGCCAGTTTAAGTTAGTGCCAACAATATGAACTACAGTGCACATAATTAAATTAAACAGACATAATTGTGTTGCTTTAGTGTATTATAAGAAATTCAATTAATAATTAATCATTTAATAAAACATTTTTTGAGTGGTATACTTTTTGTGGTGCTTTTGCATATTTTCTCCTTTTGTGTTTCACATCAGAAATAAACTCATACTAATTTGCTATGGCATGAAAATGTCTAAAGAATTGTCATTTTTCGAAAAACTATCCCTATATGTGCAGAGAAAAGTAAGACAAGCAGATCAGATGCTGATATTTAAAGATTTTTCAGATTTCTGTATGAAAGCACTTTATAAACTCAAAACTCCCTTTTTGAAAACTTTTTTGGTGTGCGAGAACAGTTGTGAATCAGGTCATTAAACTCAAACTGTTTGGAGGAGTTTATCAGCTTGCTGGTGCTGTTGAGAGCTGCTCTAGCTGCTTCAAAATCTTTCTGAAACTGGCACCAACGTCTCGTATTGCTGGAGCTAAAGTTAGCGTTTGGCCCAGCATGCTGTGCTGCAGCTAGGAAAAAAAAATGAAACTGTGTGGATTAAAGATTGTATTCCATATATCACCATGGAATAAACTTCACAAACAGTCAGAACAGAGAGCATTCAAGGTTCCTTGGTCCATGAAAATGACAGCATCAGTTATAAGTCTTTAATCCTATACTGCATAGCCGGTGATCTTATTGAAGGAATAATAGCACTTATACAGTTAAAGCAGGATTAATAGGCCTGCTCCCATAAAACCACAATATTAACATAAAGGGATTTAAGTATCATCCTGTTACTGTCCTCAGACACACGCACACACACATGGATTTGAAAGAGGATACTGTGTAATGAGTATGAGTTATGAGAACAGTCCTCACAAAAACTAGTGGTTTTTGGATATTTTAATAAAAAAATCTTACATATTGTGCCTTTAAATACAATGCCTATTTCACTCATGTAATATAACATTTAATTTACTTTACTTTTTTTTACATTAATGTAATTTTACAAGCTTATAATAAGTCAAAAGCTCATTTTAAACTTCTCAGTCTGCATCAAGGCTTTTTCTTCCCTCATTTTCACTAGAGCCTGATTTCTTTTAGGCATTTACAATGGCTATAGCTCAATAGTGACACAAGTGCCACCCCACACCAGTCACTATCCTCATGAACAGAGGGTTACCCTAATTGAGATGTACTTTTTTTCACAGGCCCAACACTGTTCCTAATGGCTCTGCAAACAATCAGCGGCAGTAGGTGATTGATTCACACTTAGTATCAGTAACATGTCTGATAATCTCTCTCTCCTTCCATCTCTCTTCATTTACTCCATCTCTTTTCTTTATTATTATTTTCTCACCCAGTGCCACATTTAATTTTCTTGCCACTGTTGTTCTCCCTGTTCCTGAAAAAAATGTCATTGTACAAAGGTTTCTTTTTTTAAAGCTCAGAAAATTTAAAGGTCTCATTTAAGTAGATGCAATTATGTATGTTCCTGGTTAACACACAAGACATTCTCAACAGAGCGATGACTCGAAGAGGCAGTATGGAAACAGAGGCTAAGAATTGCGCGCCATACTGCTTTTTTATTCTTTTTCTGTTCAAAGGTCATTTACCACCTAATTGGTGGTTGTGCAATTATTATTATTTTTTTATTTTTTTTCCGTTTAATCTTTAATCCTTGATAATGAGAATTATATTGTTTGTTTGATGCTAATTATATAAGTCACATGAGATATGTATTTTAACTTTATTGTAATAATATATAATATTGGGCGCAATCTGTCACGCCCACTGGAGTCTTGTCAGTAGGTCACGGTCAAGCATGCGCTAATAGCTCTGAAGTAAGCTAACCCTGAAACATAACCTACTCCGGAGCAGGTTATGTTCAGAGAATAAGTTGCTATGGCTACTTACATACCCTGAAAGTTACCTCTGTTTTTTGATCCGAAAGCTGAGTTTATCTGCTTACCCTTAAATATACCTGGGTATGTCACATAACCTGCTTTCTGGAATACCCCCCTCTTGTCAGACTGTTGAGTATGAAGCTATACATTGAATTTGGATATTATAGATCAGATAATTTGGTCTTTGAATTTGAGAAGAAATTTTGAGTTCATATTGAAATCTTTGATTGCAATCTTTGGTTTGTTTTCTACACTATAAAACAGTTGACCTAACTATAACCTAAAAAATAAGGAAACCTATCGCAGTCAACTTGCATCTAATGAATAAGAGGCTATTGAATTTTAAATTATCT